GAGAGTCCTGTGGGACGGATTGCCTTGACCCCCATAGCAAATGGCCAGCGACTGTCTGGTCGAGAGAAAAGGTCGTCACCTAATCTTTTGACCAGGCAGAGAGAGAGAGACTCTGACGGAGGTAGGGGTGTCCCTCACATACCTCCCCAGAGGGCCTTTTGGCTGGACAGTTCCCCAGGAACCTGGAAAGGACGATAGTCTGTGGCACCCTAGAGTACCGTCCAAGCTTACCTGGGCTATTGGGTCAGGCGAGAATTCATGGTGGATGGAGGGAGGTCAAATGGCAAAAGGCCTCTGTCCTGGAGTTGGTCGGTCTTGTGGAAAAGAAAGTGTAGAGAAAAGAGGGAGAGAGAAACCAGTATTCCTCGGGTTACGCGGAAAACCAATAAAGCCCTTTCATTGGACTTCGTACCACTCACGAAGGCACAGGGCGCCCTCTCCAGGAGGTGTTGAAAGTCCAGGCAGGAAAGTGAGCTCTGCAGGCTTCCACGATCCGAAGAACTGGCCATGGAAAATGAGAAGGAACCTCAACTGAGCTCCCAGGTTTTGGCACCAAAAAATGTAGAGTAAGGGAGTTAGAGAAGGTGAGGTTCAGAAAAAGAACGAGACCAGCACTTTACAGGAACAGATCACCTTTATTGAGGCGAGAAGGGGCAGAAGTCAAGATTAGTGAGCTGCTGCAGTAACCCAGGAAAAAAGTATATATAGTCATATATGTGGAAATCTACTGTCTTAAGGGGGCCTCTTCTTCTCCAAGGTTGTTTGGAGTTGTTATCTCTTAAATGGCTGGGGCAAGGAATTCTGGAGGTTGGTCAGAGGCTGGGACCAGCTTGGAGTTGGGGTTAATCAACCTTAATGTCCATTTTTTTTCTTTGGGTGAGAGTTCTTTGTTTTGCATAGAATGATGGGGAGGACCTGCGTGGGGATTTAACTCCAGGCTATTTTGAGCTGGGTAACTTTCCTTCACTGGTATTCCCATCTCTTTCAGAATTTTCCACAGTTCATCCATCGTGATCCACACAGTCAAAGGCTTTGGCATTTCAACAAAGCAGAAATAAATGTTTTTCTGGAACTGTCTTGCTTTTTTGATGATCCAACAGATGTTGGCAATTTGATCTCTGGTTCCTCTGCCTTTTCTAAAACCAGCTTGAACATCTGGAAGTTCACGATTCACGGATTGTTAAAGCCTGGCTTGGAGAATTTTGAGCATTACTTTACTAGCCGGTGAAAGTGAAGTGAAGTTGCTCAGTCGTGTCCGACTCTTTGTGACCCCATGGGCTGTAGCCCACCAGTCTCCTCCGTCCATGGGATTTTCCAGGCAAGAGTACTGGAGTGGGTTGCCATTTCCTTCTCCAGGGAATCTTCCCAATCCAGGGAATCTTCCCAATCCAGGGATCGAACCTGGGTCTCCCGCATTGTAGGCAGATGCTTTTGCCGTCTATTGTGCGGTAGTTTGAACATTCTTTGGCATTGCCTTTGGGATTGGAATGAAAACACTTTATCCAGTTCTGTGGCCACTGCTGATTTTTCCAAATTTTCTGGCATATTGAGTGCAGCATTTTCACAGCATCATCTTTTAGGATATGAAATAGCTCAACTGGAATTCCATCACCTCCACTACCTTTGTAGTGATGCATTCCAGGATGTCTGGATGTCTGGCTCCAGGTGAGTGATCATACCATCGTGATTATCTGGGTTGTGAAGATGTTTTTTGTATAGTTTTGTGTATTCTTGCCACCTCTTCTTAATATCTTCACGTGCTCTGAAGCCTAGCTTGAAGGATTTTGAGTATTACTTTGCTAGCAGGTGAAATGAGGTGAATAAAAACTGACCTTTTCACATCCTGTGGCCATTGCTGAGTTTTCCAAATTTGCTGACATAGTGAGTGCAGCACTTTAACAGCATCATCTTTTAGGATTTTAAATAGCTCAGCTGGAGGGTAACACTTATGGTTAAATATTGACAATTTAAAAATTAACTCAAAATTAATTATGAATTGTTAGAAGAACGAAAATCATGGCACAAAACTTACTCTTTCAGGCCCAGGGTGTGTCACTTCCCAAGTGTTATCAGCCCCCGCTGATAAGTATAAATAAAGTGATTATCACTTTATTTTCTCATGAAATTGGAATAATACAGTGTGTACTTAACAAGGTGTATGGGGTAGTAATGAATAAAAGATACAGCATGTAATGGACTTACCTAATAATAGCAAACAGTGTAGTACATTTTAAAATATTTATTATTCAAAGCAACCTTTATGCAATAGTGATTATTAGATAGGTACCAAATTTTACAGAAAATTAAGTCAAATGGTCAAGAGATGCCCAAATTCAGTTTTCTATCTGTAATCTCAAGGGAGTATGTAATAGAGACATGGCAATTATGTTGTGAAAGTGAGGAAACCAAGTTAGAAAACTTCTCAGCTTCCTCAAATGTCTTAAAATTTGGAACTTGATTCCTACACTTCAGTTCAGTTCAGTCGCTCAGTAGTGTCCGACTCTTTGAGGTCCCATGGTCTGCAGCACGCCAGGCTTCCCTGTTCATCACCAACTCTCAGAGCTTGCTCAAACTCATGGGTTGTGTTCATTTCAGAGTTCACCGCATACAGGTTTGTCTGCAGTTTGAGAAATGACCACTAGAGGGCAGGAGACTCGAAGTTTACATACAGCTCAAGAATGAAGTTCTCTGCTTTAGGAGTATTTTCAACTAAATAGGTAACAATATTTTTTTATCATGCAGTTGTTTTACCTCAGTTGTATTTCCTAAATAAACCCATCTCTGCAGATTCAGAAAATATTTCCCAAGCTCAGGTGAAGCACATTATAAATAGAATCTACTTGATTTACAATTTGTGGATTTTCTCTGCATCTACAGATAATAAACAATAATTCCTTCTGAAATGGTGTCTATTAAAAAATTAACCCTCTGTTTTTGACCTGTTGAAATAAATATGAAAAATCCCTTCTCTCATATTGCTTCAAAGTATAAATTTTTTGAAAATTTAAAACGTGTTATTGTAAAAATAATCTCACAACATCCAGTTTTTAATAACGCCATCATCTTCTCATTGCTCCATTGCACAGGTAATACTGCCAAGTTTCTCACATACTGCAAAAATGGTCTCTGCACACCACGCATATAGATCATAGGGAGAAGACCGGAAGTCACATGTACTCACCCACCACATGGGGATGCCCAGAGGAAAGGGCTGCACGTGGGAGGGGCTCGCAGGGGCTTAGGGGTTCTCATTCCCAAAGCACAGCCAAAGGCAGGGTTTGGCCTTGACCTCAGGGTATTGAACCCTCCCATTTCTGGACTCCGCACACCTATTCTGGCTCTAATCCCGGTCTCACTTCCCAGATTGCCCCAGGAAGGGATGGACACTCAACTGCGTGAGCCCCACTTGGTGTGGGCACAGCCCAGGCTCCTGGCCCCCAGGTCAGTGGGTGGATGCAGCAGGATAAGCTCCAGGACAAAGGGCCTCGCTTCCACATGCAGACTCAGCGAGGGGTGGTGGGGCAGCCTAATCTAGCTTGTCCAGTGCCCGTGCATGCATCTAGCAGCGCGGGAAGAGACCCCGCCTGGGTGAACCCGTGTCCAGTGTACCAACGGCTCCCATCCCGGCGGTTACCACACGGTGCCAACGGCCGCTGTGTTGCTACCCCACAACCCCAGGGACCCACGGACCACCCCACACCAATCAGCCTGGCTGAAGATCTGGGGACATGAAGTCACAGAATAACCTTCCATACATCCTGCTGTCCGGGTCCCACTCTACCCCCACCCCCGCCACCAGCTGCCAGCTCCCTGCACCGCTAGGTCAGGAGGCCTGGAGGTGGTGTAGACACGGGCCTGGGCAGGGGAAGGTAAGGCTGCCCCTTCCCTCTCCATCTCTCCGCCAACCTCTCCACGCACCAGGTCCAGCCTGTCCCTGGCTGGTTGGTGCAAGCGGCTGGAGGGAGCCCCGAGAGCAGGCAGTCCCACAATGAGGCCTGAGTGTTGGGAGTAATTACTGTTATTAGGGAGTGCTCCCTGGCACTTAGGTCACCCCAATTTATTGATGAGCCACGGCATGGATGCTCAGGGTCACTTAACTCTAAGTGACCAAGTCCAGCCAAACTAAGACGTCACAACGAAGCTTGCCTGTGACTGGCCCCAGAGGCCACGCCCAAGAGGTGGACCCCCGAGCCCAGCGTTGGAGGAGTCCGTCTTGGGTGCGGGAGCAAGGGGAGGGGAACCGTAGGCCGGGACTCCCGCAATGGCTCCGCCCACTCCCATCTGCGGACTGGAAGCTCTGCAGGGAAGGTCTCATCCCTGGTCCCCAGAGATGCGGCCCGGTGCCCACCGCGTCCCAGACTCCCCGGGTCTCCAGGCTGCGCTCTGCTCCCACAGACTCCGGGAGTTAGAAAGCATTCCCAGGACTCGGAGCACTGGGTACCAACGGGGAGCTAAGGCCACCAATTCTAGCACGGTACCGTAGACCCTCAGGGTTCGGCCCAAGCACAGCAACTTGCAGAGGAGCAAAAAGGACTTCCCTCTGGCACCCGGAGGCCGCCCCTTCCCCTCCCCCACGCCAAGGGAGGCGTCTCGGGGGCCTAGCCTCCTCCCAGGCGCTCAGAGAGGGGGACCCGAAGCCTCTCCCCGTTGCCCTGGGGGTGGCCTGGCCCAGCCGCCCCTGCGAACCTCGGGATCCCCACCTAGATCCGGAGGCTGAGAGCCGCCGGAATGGGGGGGAGGCGTTGCTAGGAGACCGAGGGCCGGGTCAGGCCCCTCCTGGGCTGTCTCGCCCTGCGCCGGCTCACGTCAGTTATTCGAAGAACCACCATCGGCCCCAACAGCGGGCCGTGTCCACGGCCGAGGCCGCTTTGGCTTCTTCCGCCGCCTTTGCGCCGCCAGCAAACCCAGGTGGCCTCTGCTGCTGCCGGCAACCTGTCCGGCGTCCACTTGGGTAGCGGCCCTGGGGAGCCCTGCGGGCAGGCGGGGACGCGCTCCGAGCCATGGAGGAGATACCTATCCTAGGCCTGGGCACCTGGAAGGTGAGGCGGCGTCTTGGTTGAGGAGGGGCGGTGCCTTCCTTCGACACGCCCCTGCGTGGAGCGCCACCTACCTGGGAACACCTGCCACAGCCTCCGCAGGTCCAGCTGGTCGCTGGCACCTGGAAGGGGCCCGCCTCCGGCTTTTGGAAGATGGAGTATTTAGACATTAGGTTTTCTAGAATTGGGGATTGTCCTTCCCAATCACTGTTTATTTTTGTTTGTTTGTTTGTTTGTTTATTTTTGGCTACAATGGGTCTTCTTGCTCCCCGGGCTTTCTTTAGTTGCTCTAGCTGAGCTCATTGTGGTGGCTTCTTTTGTTGGGGAGCCAGAGCTCTAGGGTGCGTGATCTTCAGTAGTTGCAGCTCCCCGGGCTCTAGAGCACAGGCTCCCTAGTTGTGGCACACAGGCTTGGTTGCCCCGAGGCATATGGGATCTTTCCCGATCTGGGGTCAAGCCCGTGTCTCCTGCATTGGCAGGAGGATTTTTTGCCACTGAGCCACCACAGAAGCCACCCGCCCCCCACCCCGCCTCATTATAATTGTTCAGAGAAAAAAAAAAAAAAAAGTCTGAGAAAGCCCAGAAGAAAAGATTGTCAGGCTTGGATAAGAGCAGGAAACGGTCGCCTGACAGATCAGAGCAGCAGGCATCAGGAAGATGGGGAAGTGTCTGTACCAAAGAGAGGAAAATGCTGTCATTGCTAATTTGGTTTTAAAAAGAAACTTTCAAACTTTTACTTCCCAGTGTAAAAACCTGATAGTGGACGTTCAGTTCAGTAGCTCAGTCACGTCCAACTCTTTGCGACCCCGTGGACTGCAGCCCTCCAGGCTTCCCTGTTCATCATCAAAGTCCCAGAGCTTGCTCAAACTCGTGTCCGTAGAGTTAGTGATGCCATCAACCATCTCATCCTCTGTTGTCCCCTTCCCCTCCTGCCCTCAATCTTTAGTGGAAGTACTTTGGACCTTCCTCTACTTGTTTTTTTCTAATCCCTGTCAGTAATTTAGACAGCACTAATTATAAAGCCTTTCAAATTTGCTTTCTTTTTAAAAGTCTTTAATAAAGAGATATTTGTTTAAGAATTCACATAGAAAGTTATTGGTTGCTGGTGCTAGTGTTAAAGAATCTGCCTGCCAATGCAGGAGACATGAGACAGGGGTTCTATCCTCAGGTCAGGAAGATCTCCTGGAATAGGAAATGGCAACCCACTCTAGTATTCTTGCCTGGAGTATCCCATGGACAGAGGAGACTGGCAGGTTATGGTCCATGGGGTCACAAAAGAGTCAGACACCAATGGGCACACACAGGAATTAGAATGATCACCCTTACTCATCAAAATATTATTTAAATTATTTCTTCTATCCACTTACCAACTGGTAGAGGTCAGGGATGTGTTAATAGTTTAATTTATTGTGGTCGAGTAAAATAAGTTGAAAGTGTTTCCTCTTGTCAGAACTTTGTTTTTAATTGGTATGAATTCTAACTGGAAAATTTTGTAAAATTCTGTGTATTGTGTTTAATTGCTTTATTTAAAAAAATAGTTATAGAACACTTGAGCTTTATTTCTTCTTAACTTTTTCTAGGAATTTTTCCATTTCATTTCACTTTTCCAAATTGTTGGCTTCTAGTCATTGATAATAGTTCCTTAGGTTTTTAAATATGTATTTTTTATCTGTATGTACTGCTTTTCTTTCATGTCATTAAAAAAAAAAAAAACTTGGTCTCCCCAGTCTTGTCCAAAGCTTGTCTATTTTAGGGAATCCCCTTGAGGTCCAGTGGTTAGGTCTCCACCTCCTACTGCTGGGAGCCCTGGCTCAGTCCCTGGTTGGAGCACTGAGATCCCATATGCTGTGCTGTGTGGCCAAAAAAAAAGAACCAACAGCAAAAAAAAAATTAAGATTTTTCAAAAAACCAACCACAAGCATTGTTGGTCTTATCTATCAATTTGTATTTGATGTTCATTATTATATTCATTTTCTCTTTCTGATTTCTTGGTGGTCCTCCCAACTCTGAAGTGGATGCTTGGTTCATTAGCTCTCATCCACTCTGAATGTGTTCTCATTCAATGAAGATCATTATGACAGATGCATCTCACAGGGTGATGTGAGGTTCAAGGGAGAAAGCGCCCTGTGAGCCGAGACCCCTTGGGGATGTGGAGTTTAGTGGTCATGTGAGCCTCTTCCCCTGCCCCAGGCCCCTTGCCTGCTCGAGCAGCCCCCTTTACAGAGAGTGTTTCTTTTCTGAACTTGCACATTGCTGATAGCATCCATTGTGTTTCTTTGGCTTCTGGCAATGCTCTGTGTGGTGGATTGTCTTTGCATGCACCTGTCTGCCTTTACACTTGGGCTAATGGCCTTTGTGCGTAGTGGGTGAGTCTATACCTCCTTGCATCACACCTCTCACCATTATTCATCCTAAATTTATTTACGCGCACCTTCATTCCAGTAGCACAGCCTCTAGCTCAGTCATTTGCAGGCACCAAACATACTTAAAGCATTTTCCCCAAATAAGTAAAGGAAAGTAGATTATCTGTAAATCCTTTCTGACACTGACGTTCCTCATTTTAGGATGGATGAATACAAGTACCAACTCAGTAAATTCACTTTTTATGGCTTGTTGACTCTGTGTTCTAGAGTGAACAGGGGTTGTTGGGGTCAGAGGCGGTCCTGAGTCCAGGTGGCTGACTTCTTGTCTTGCAGGCGGTTCCAGGGGAGGTAACAGAGGCTGTAAAAGTGGCGATAGACGTGGGCTACTGCCACGTGGACTGTGCGTACGTGTACCACAACGAGAATGAGGTCGGAGTGGGAGTCCAGTCCAAGATCAAGGAGGGCGTGGTGAGACGGGAGAACCTATTTATTGTCAGCAAGGTAGGACTTCTTGTGTAGAGAAAGAGGGCCACTGACAGTGGGAATAGCATGGGTAGGGTTTTCCAGTCTCCTTTGTAGGAGCTGATGACTCCATCTGTACTTGAACCCAGGGGACAGGACTTGTGGAGCTCCATGCACAGGCTGGGAGCATTGCAGGTCAGGGGGATCAGGGACAGTGTGACATGAGCAAAGGCACAGGGCACAGGACACCACAGGTGCAGGGACCCCCTAAGAATCTTGGCTGAGATTCCCAGATGGAAAACTGTTGGGCAGCAGAGAGCTGACAGGTTGGGGAAGTGGACAGGCCGGACTGTGGAAGAAGTCAGGATTTCATCTTAGAAGTTCACTCTTTTCCACTTAGAAAGGAGCACGGTTGAAAGTTGTCACATAGGGAACTGTGTTGTTTAGAAGCGAGGCTGGTGTGGTGTCAAGGAGATTGTTAGCCGCTTGTTACAGGAGACAGGAGACGTTGACAGCCTGAACAAGGGCAGCCATGGAGGATCCCGGGGTGCCCAAAGGATGTGTCCCTGCCCCGTTGTATTTACTGCCAAGGGGTCCTGGATGTCATGCATCTTGAAGATCTTGGGCCAGCGGGCAGGTGTGTGCTCACAGCTCCCACGGGCTCTGTGGCCATCGTGTCTGTGCTTCCTCCCTCCCCCTGCAGCTCTGGTGCACCTGCCATAAGAAGCCCCTGGTGAAAACAGCCTGCACCCGGAGTCTGAAGGCCTTGAAACTGGACTACTTGGACCTCTACCTCATGCACTGGCCCATGGGCTTCAAGGTACAAGACGGCGAGACCCCCGTAGGCCACACCTCCCTTCCCGGCGGTGCCCTGACATCATTCAGCAGGCGGTGGAGTGAGCACATGGTTCCCCCGGGACTCAGCTCTGGGGAGGCATGGGCTGGAGGACCTCAGAGCCCCTAGGCTCTAGTGCCCTACAGCTGTGCCTCTCAGCCCGTCATTTCTTTTCATACACAGGCCTCCCCTTTGACCGGCCTCAGGTGGCTAAAGCCGGTTGGGTGGAGAGCTTGCAGACCAACCCCTGAGGCTGTGCTGATGGCTGGCTTTAGGTTTTTAAAAATTTCCTGCCATCCTCTGGCACTTCCCAGGTGACGCTAGTGGTAAAGAATCCACCTCCCAGTGCAGGAGACACAAGAGATGTCGGTTCCATCCCTGGATCAGGAAGATCCCCTGGAGGAGGAGGTGGCAACCCACTTCAGTATTGTAGCCATCTTTCTCTGACCTGCACCTCCCGGCACCCTTGTACTAGTTCTCGATTCACTATCTCTCATCATGATGGGGATTCTAAGAAAAGAGGGATGATCTTACCAGTGGACTTGGGAGATGGGGCCCTTAGGACATGAAAGACTCCACTTTTTTTTGCCTGAAATTGACAAACAGTTTTCTGGCTGCTATCATGGATTCCAGGTCTTGCTTCCCCGTTGGGTGAGCGGTGGGCAGTGACGTTCAGAGTACTGGAGGTTAGCTGTGTGTTGGAGCGGAGCCCAGGCTTCCTGCAATCTGGGCCAGTGTTCTTCCCTCCCTTCCTCCCTGTCCTCTCCGGGGGTCACCATGAGCCCCCAGTGAGCACCTTTCCTTCTGGCTCTCGCAGTCCGGAGAGGCAGACTTGCCCATGGACCACAACGGCATGATCATCCCTAGTAACACGGACTTCCTGGACACGTGGGAGGTAAGCCAGCCCCGCCGACTGTCTCTGGAGGGAACCGTGAGGCCTGCAGCTGCCTGTTCAGAGGCCCCTGGTTCGCAGCACGAACTGAGGATGAGCACCTGACTGAGGACCTCAGTGCAGGTCGGTCGTCTTTCTGAAGCACTTACTTTAGGGATAACTAATTCAGACTAATTCAGAATGTTTTGAGTAAAGAAAAAGATCGCATGGTCTTTACAGAAAATATAGAAAGTGTAAAACATACAGAAAGAAGGAAAATTTCAAATCCTGCTTCTCCGTGTCCTGGTGGCGACCACACTGCCATCCTATAGATCTCTTTAGTGCTTTGTCAGCATTTTGGAACCATAACTTCGGCGGCAGGGAATGTCTCGGGGCAGGCAGGAAGAAGTGGAGGAAGGGGTAGCTTATTTCAAACCAGAGTTCAGATGAAAAGTGCCGAGGCAGAAGCAAGGCAGGAGCGTGCCAGTCGGGGCGGTGAGTGTTGGGCACAGGGCAGTGGGCGGCCGGCCTGGGAGGAGGGCTCCTGCCTGCAGGGTGTCCAGTCAAGCTGGCAGGTGCCTGTGACCCCTACACGGGCAGGGATGGGTGGAGGCCAGAAGAGGAGGCTCACACTGTAACTTGCAGAGTTCAGGGAGACAAAGTGCGAGCTCTTCGTGTGGGGTGAGGGGTGTAGGCGTGGGGTGTAGGGTCATCCGGGCAGAGCGGGGAGGGGTCACAGATGAGGAGGCATGCCAGGCCAGGCCAGCCTCTCCTCCCCTTTCATCAAACAACCAAATCAGCAAAACCGAGCTCACCTGGCCCGTCTGTCCACTGCGTGGCCTGTTCTCAAGGATCCGGGTCAAACCCTGGGCTGTTTGTGTGGCCCAAATGAAGGTCTGGGCAGCTGTTGCTGCTTCAGGGAGTCACAGGGACACAGGGACCCTGGTCACCGGCTGTGGCCGCTCAGACTCACGGCCGCCCATGCCTGGCACCAGGCTGCCGCATTCCTTTGAAGCCAAGGGCGGCCTGACTCCTGGTCAGGGAACAGCAGAGCTGTTCTGCCCTTGTCCCTGAAGACGTTAACTTGCACTGGGGCAGGAGCTGAGCACAGGTTATGGTGCCGAAGCAGCTTATGATCCAGGTGGAGGGGCGAGCAGGTGAGGCCAGCGTGGACGCCCCGCGGACACTAGGCGACGGGGACTCAGGGTAACAGCGGCCCGTCCTGCTGTGTTTGCTCGACGCCAGCCCTCAGCGAAGAGCTCTGTATGCATCTACTCACACGGCCCTTAACCAGCCCCGTGACCTGGACAGAGTGGTCCCCAGTGTGTGGATGAGGAAACTGAGGCTCTCTGAGGTCCCGTGGTGTGCCCACGGCCCCCAGCTCCTAGTGGTGCAACAGGGAGCAGACCTAGAGCACAGAAGCGCTGGAGAAGCCTTGAGGGAAATACTGTCGAACAGCAGGCGGGGCCATTATTCGGACCCTGTGCGGGTCACCTGTGGGGCCGGCCCAGCCCGGATACCCCATGGTTCTTTCTACCCCCTTAGGCCATGGAGAACCTGGTGGCCACAGGCCTGGTCAGAGCCATCGGGGTGTCAAACTTCAACCACGAGCAGCTCGAGAGAATTCTGAATAAACCCAACCTGAGGTTCAAGCCAGTGACCAACCAGGTGAGCGTGGGGGTCAGCTCAGAGGCTATTATGGATCAGCTTTTCAGCCGTTACCTCCAGGAGGCTGCAGGGGCCATGGAAGAAAAGGTGGATCGAGAGGTGTAGGTGTCTTCCCCAGGGCTGTCAGCATCGCAAACTGGGAGCAGTCAGGCAGGCGGTGGGTGAGGGGGCAGAAGATCCTCGAAAGCCTAGTCTGGTGAGGTGGTGCCCCCAGAGCGAGGGCCTGAGCTGAGCTTGGCTCCTGTGTGCAGCTGTGGGTGCATCACCAGGTGCGTTAAAAAATGGAGCGGTCCCAGCGGCCCTCACCCTTCGGTGGTGATGCTCCAAGGTGAGTGGGCTTCATGGAAAAGCACAGGAACCCCGCTGCTCTCCAGTCTGGCACATTGCAGCCTGAAAGGCGTGGACGAATGGATGACCTTCAGCCCAGATCACAGACTGCCAAGAGTTTAATGCAGAGAAATGACTAGTGCCGGCAGGAGTGTTGAGTTCTCTAGACAGGCTGGCACTGCAAGTAGAAAGTGCATTCTTGCAGTACTTTATTTTAAACTTTTTGTTAAAATGTTGAGTCCATACAAAACAGTGCTCACGTAAGAACAGAGCTTGAGACCATCTCACAAGCTTAGCCTGGCTCTGGCCAGCATGCGGACCAGTAAACCAACATGACCAGCCCCATGGCCTGCCGGAAGCCCCCGGATGCTCCTTTCAGTGCCCCCTCCCTCAGGAAGGGCAGCCGTTCTTCTGGTTTCCAGCAGCACTGAGGAGTGTTAGCACTTGGTACGGACACCGTGCTGCTTCCCGCACGTGGTGTCTTTGTCCTGGCCCTTCACTCAGCCTTGTGCCTTGTGGGCTCCACACCCGCCTGTGACCATGGGTTGCCATTCTTCTCTGTGTGCATAGAGCAGATAGGAGGCCAGGGTTTTTACCTAAAGTGATGAGGATGGCCTGGGAGAGCAGGGAAGGTTTAAGTGCTCCTGAGGTAGGTCTTCCCAGTGGGCTGGTGTCTCAGGGCCCACAGTCCAGGCTTTTCCACTTCCCAGTGGAGACACTAGAAGTGGGTCCTAGCTCAGCAGTGACAGGGTCCAGGAAGGAATGTGGGCCCCTTTTCGGGTGGACTGTTTTCCTGAAGAGCTGTCATCTTGTAGATCGAGTGCCACCCGTATCTCACTCAGAAGAACTTGATCAGTTTCTGCCAATCAAGAAACGTGTCTGTGACGGCTTACCTGCCCCTCGGTGGCTGCAGGTAGGGATGCTCCAGGGGCCCTGAGTTGAGGCCCAAGCAGGGAATGGCTGTACCCAAGCTAAGAGGTCAGAGGGGCAGAAGTACAGAGACCCAGTGCCCCGTGGCCTCCAACATTGCCTCCTGGTTCTTGAGAAAAAGCACCAAGTGTATGTGAAAAGCTGTGTGTCTAGTTGCCTCCCCTGAAACATTAGCAGTGGTTTGTCTGAGTGGGAGGATTTGAGTGGCAGCTTCTCTGCATCATTTAAGTTTCCTATGATGAGCAAGTAGCATGACAAAAATATATCTAGATTATGTGTTTGGAGGAAGCGTGAGGTTTTCCTAAAGAAGGAAGCATGTTCATTTGCCCTCGTGGCCTCTGCCCTGTACTCTGCTCTCCAGTGGGGGGATGCACCTGATGGAAGACCCTACGATCCAGACGATCGCTCAGAAGCACAGGAAGTCCGCAGCCCAGGTAGACGGGGGTCGCCATGTCCTGGCTCCACTGTCTCATCATTTGGGGACGGGGCATGACAGTGATTTCTCCTTAAGGTGCATGCAGGTCCTCTGAGCTTCTCCCGATAGAACTGCTCAGAGAATCCCAGTTGGGTTTCTGAATGACTCAGAATGAAAGCACATGCTCCCATTGCGGGCTTCTGGACTTTCACTGCACGATAAAGCATGACTGTCAGGGAAAGTGCTGAGCTCTGACCCTGGTAATGCCCTGTGTCTGATGTTGGACTTTTCTTTCCCTGCAGATTTTGATCCGATTTCAGATCCAGAGGAACATAAGAGTGATTCCCAAATCTGTCAACCCAAAGCGGATTCTCGAGAACTTCCAGGAAAGTGCTTCCTCCTTTTGAATCACATGGCATTGGAGGCTTTGGGGTCACCTCTTAGCTTGGGGAAGGGATGTCCTGATGTCGAGAGCCAGCAGCTGCACCCCCTGTGGCTTTAACACCCAGGGGTGTCAGGGTGAGGCCTCTGGAGTAGAGACAGACCCTTCCCAGCCTGGAGCTATTGGAACTGGACTGGATGGAACAGGGAGTGGGGGTGGGCAGGCAGGGCTGCAGTCAGAGTTCTTTCGAGGCTGACCTTCACCCTCGTGCCAGCCACTGCACCCAGACTGCCCTGGCCCTGATGTGTCAGGGCTCCAGCTTTCTCTCCAGGCAGAACTTTGGTTGCCACTGAGTCTCTGATTTCTGCTTTGGTTGCCACGAAGTCGCTGATTTCTATGCAGGTAGAGGCTAGGCCAGTCTCTGCCCCTCCCCCGGCCCCAGCTTCTCAGCTGTGGGCTCAGGGTTGGCTGTCCCTGAGTGGACCAGCTCTTAATGCCAGCAAGGGTCATAGTCCGCACGTGTGTTAGGTATAGGAAGAAGGGAGAGCTGCTTAGAATACTGCTTTCGCAGGACACGAAAGAACAACTACACAGTGAGCATCAATGCCTCCAGGGACCAGGTCTCCCTCACCAAGTGGGTATATGGAAGAAATGTTTTTGGTCTGTGTTTCTTGGGGGGTTTTTTTGGTTTTGTTATTGTGATGGTGTTTTGTTTTGTTTTATCTTGTGTTGTTGTTTTGGTTTGCATGTTGGGAAAATTTCTATTCTGGGACATTCCTTACCCTGTGGGCTGCACGCAGGGCATACCTGTCTTCCCAGGGATTCCTAAGCAGCAGAGGCTGAGCCCGCCTGGTTTTGGTCCAGTGTCACAGGAAGTCTGATCCCCACCTGTGGATCCCCACCTGTGCTTTGCAGCTGAGGTAGCTCAGCTGAAGATCTACCAGACTAAGTTCCTAGTGACCGTTTCCTTCTGGTTTCCAGGTGTTTGATTTTGAATTATCAGAAGAGGATATGACTGACCTCCTCGGCCTGGACAGGAATCTCCGTTTGGCCACGTTCCCCATGTAAATATGGCTCCTTTACCCACCTTCTCAAGGAGGGGGAGCAAGGTCCAGATTGCGTGACTGCTCCCTGCACAGGGCTTTACCGCCTTTGGGGTTAAGTTAACCTTCTCATAATTCTCTCCCGTCTAAGGACAGGCCACTTTGGAGGTAAATTATAAGACTGTGTCCATACACTCAGCAGTTTAAACAATATGTTAAGTGTATTTTTTCAATGTTTCTCTTAAAAATAATAACCGTTCTCTGCTTCTATCTTTGACCTGTTTTTCTCTTTTTCAGTACTGAAAATCACAAGGACTATCCCTTCAGAACAGAGTTCTGAGGACCCTACTCAGCCCAGATGAATCCTTGCCGACTCAGGGCAGCCCTGGACAGGGCAGGGGACTCAGCTTGATTTGGGTGGGTTCCCTGAGAAGTCCCAAGAACTGAATATGGTCTGTGCCTGAAGGTGGAGGCTTCATGAGAGCGGTGATCACTTTCCACTGAGAGCCATTCAGGTTTTAAAATCCAAGGAGCCCACAGTGTGCTGGGTTCTCACAAGAGCGCTGGGCGGTCTACACCCTCAAACAGGGATATTCAATGACTCATGAATAATTTGCCTTCCCATTAAAAAAAAAATTATGTTATGGAAAAGTTGGAATGTCTACAGTATAAGGAATCTCTACCCCCACCACTCAGCTTCAGCCATTGTCAGTCCCTGGCCCTTCTTGCTTTGTCTCTGATCCTCTGTTCCCTGCCAATACCCCCAGATGGTTTTAAAGCAAAATCCTTACACAACACACAACAAAATGGTGTGCTCAGCAGCCTGCCACTGTCCCATCCCTCACTGATGCTAATGTACTGCCATAGGGGACAGGTTTCCATAGCCTGGGAAAAATGATTTCCAACCTGTCTAAAACACAAGACAAAAGTAATAAAACCATAATGCAGTTCTTATAAATAAGGAAATGATAAATTCCCAGTTTAAAAGGGTGATATTGGAGGAGCACAGTAACAGTTATTGATTACTTACCACGTTGTGCTGTGTGGTTGTGTCTGACTCTTTGTGACCCTATGGACAAGCTCGCCAGGCTCCTCTGTCCATGGGATTCTCCAGGCAAGAATACTGGAGTGGGTTGCATGCCCTCCTCCAGGAGATCTTCTCAACTCAGGGATCGAACCTGGGTCTCCTGCCTCTCCTGCATTGTAGGCAGATTCTTTACCACTCGAACCACCTGGGAAGCCCACTAGGCATTTAATTTGCAGAACATGCTGTATTCTCTTAAGAAGACAGGCACAAGGTGGCTGAATAATTCCCAAAGATTACGTGATTATGAAGGTTGAGGCTAGGATTTGAATGTCCAAAAACCAGGGAGCAAATTAATTATAATAGAAATAAAAACTGAATTGACAGTGATTTTCCAGTTTCTCCACCCAAAATAAAAAAAAAAAATCAACCTCCAAAACACTTGAAGTATATTGAAAAAATAGCACTTTCAGTAACTTTGGGTAGGATTATAAATTTATGTAGATGCTCCTGGAAGCAATTTGGTATTATATTTTAAAATCATTTAAAATGTGCATATTAATTGGTAGCATTTGAGCCTTTAAGCATTGAACTTTAGGAAAAAAGAAGGGTTCTCCTCCAAATTCTCAAGTTAGAGTATGTTGCTATAGAAAAGTTATATTTATGCTTAATCATTTGCGGTTGTGGGAAAAAATTAAAATTTGAATTTAAAAACACTTCCCAGAAAGGAAGGACTGTTTTTCTCCTGGTCTCATCCCCTCTTTTTTAATCCTGTCTCCCACCCCCCTCAGTAATCTTGTTTTGGTAACAAAGTGAAAGTGAAAGTTGCTCAGTCATGTCCGACTCTTTGTGACCCCATGGACTATACTGTCCATGGAATTTCCCAGGCCAGAATACTGGAGTGGTTAGCCTTTCCCTTCTCCAGGGGATCTTCCCAACCTGGTGACTGAACGCAGGTCTCCTGCATTGCAGGCGGATTCTTTAAGTTGGAGCCACCAGGGAAGCCCAAGAATACCGGAGTAGGTAGCTGGTCCCTTTTCCAGCGGATCTTCTGGACCCAGGAATCAAACCCAGGTCTCCCGCATTGCAGGGGGATTCTTTACCAACTAAGCCACCAGGGAAGCCCACTGTTTTGGTGTTCAGTTCAGTTCAGTTCAGTCGCTCAGTCGTGTCCGACTCTTTGCGACCCCGTGAACCGCAGCACACCAGGCCTCCCTGTGCATCACCAACTCCCGGAGTCCACCCAAACCCATGTCCACTGAGTTGGTGATGGTTTTGGTGATAGCAATGCCAAATCTCAGGACTGGCATCCAGTTTCCAAAGTTCATTTCCATAGAAGAGGGTGTGTATTCATTCACCTCCTGGTTTTCATGGCCCAGACTGTTTTTATTCCCATTTCCTCCAGCCTGTGCTCTGGGCAGAATTTTATTTTTGGATTCCACAGTAAGTAGGGAGGGCCCAATGTGGCTAGAGCCACATTAAAATTCTTCTGACTAGAAAGGAATGCAAAAGGGAGGAGAACATGTGGAGCTGATGCCAAGTTTTCAGTGGCTCTTTTTAAAGTAAGTGTTTTCTTTTTTTTTCTTTTTTGGCATGTGAGATCTTGGTTCCCTGACTGGGGATCAAACCTGTGACCCCTGCAGTAGGAGAACACAGTCTTAATCACTGGCCCACCGGTGCAGTCCTTAAAGTAAACTTTTAGTTTGAGTTGATCATGGATTCACTTGCAGTTCAAAAAGAATACAGAGCAAGCTTGTGTCCCATCTATTCCTCCACCATTACTGTCTTGCAAAACCAACAGCCGCGTGTCACAACCAGAATATCAACATCCATGCAACCTACTGACCATGTTCATATTTTCCTAGATTTGTGCTGGGTGTGCATTTAGTTGGGCTTGACCTGTGACTCAGGGGTAAAGACTCCACCTGCAATGCAGGAGACCCAGATTCGATCCCTGGGTGAGGAAAATCCCCTGGAGGAGGGCATGGCAACCCACTCCAGTATTCTTGCTGGAGACTCCCCATGGACAGAGGAGGCTTACAGGCTACAGTCCATGGGGTCACAAAAAGTCAGATATGACTGAAGTGACTTAGCAACGCACATGCATTTAGTTCTGTGCAATTTTTTCACATTTATTTCATGAGTCATGACCACAGTCAGGACACAGGACTTTGCCATCATCACGGGCATCCCTTTTATAACTGTCCTTCCCACTTCTGCCCCAGTCCCTTCTCTGGTTCTCCAGCTTTCTTGAGGTATAATCAACAAACGGCATATTTTAAGTGCATGGCATGGTGATCTGCTATGAAGTGAAAGTGTTAGTCGTTCAGCTGTGTCCGATTCTTTGCAACCACATGGACTTTAGCCCGCCAGGCTACATGCCATGGAATTCTCCAGGCAAAAATACTGAAGCAATAGCCATTCCCTTCTCCAGGGGATCTTCCTGACCCAAGGATGGAACCCTGGGCTCCTACATTGCAGGCGGATTCTGATCTGCTATCCAGGCACACTGTGAAATGATATGAGTTAACTCCCATCACCTAACATAGTTCCCTTCTAAGTGCTGAGAAGACTTGAGATTTACTCTAGTAGATAGTAGACACTAGCATAATAAATATAAAACTCAATTTTTAAAATTAGAATATTTATAAACTCAGTAGTCTCCTCATTGTCAGTTCTATTGTTTGATTCCATGAAAGGACATTTAATGAGATTCATCACTTTTTTTTTCAGAGTTATTGATGTATAATTGACAATTGAAATTTTACATATAATGATGGTCTGCTATGCACATACATTGTGAAATGGTCCCCACATAGAATCAAGCTAATTAACATCCATCAACTCTGCATTACTTGTTTGTTTGTTTTTGTTTTGTTGGGAACCCTTAGGATCTGTAAGCAAATTCAATTATGCATACAGTATTATTAACTACAGTCACCTTGGTGTACAGTAGATCCTCAGAACTTACTCATCTCACGACTAAAGGTTGATACCCTTTTGACGAACATCTCCCTGTTTCCCCCACTCTAATCACATGAATGTTACATCTTTTGTTATTGCTCCTCTGGTCCCCAAGGCACTGTTCCTTTTTTTTTTAACCTACTTTTTCTGATTCCTTCTGAGTAATTCATATTGCTTTATCTTCCAGAACACTATTTATTCTGTTCCTTCAGGTCTATTGATTTCATCCACAAGTTTTTAATTCTCACTACTATATTTTTCACTTCTAAAGCTTTCATTTGGTTTTTCTTTATGTCTTCTGTTTCTTTGCTAGGACACTCTGTTTCCTGGTTGAAACTTTCTACTTTTTCATTTGTCCCGAGTACATTTGTAATGGCTTATTGAAACGTTTTCGTGATGGATACTCTAAAATCATTCTGATATCTCAGTTGTCTTGGTGTAGGCATCAGTAGCTTGTCTTTTTAAATTCAATTTGATGCCTTCCTTGTTTTGGGAATAATGAGTAATTTTTAACGGAAATCTGGACCATGGGGATATTGTGTGTTCATTAAGCTTTAGATCCCTTTAAAAGGTCTCATAAAATTGCATACTGTGGGAAATTCACTGAATGGAAGAGGAAAAAACACATAAGAACTATAGACAGGTGAAAAGCCACACCTGGAAAATTTGGAAAATATACTATGATAAGCTTTTTCTGAGGGCTCCATCCTCTATGATCACTTCCAGGGATATCAGCATTTCAATCTGTTACACAGGGGGAAAAAGATGAAAAAGCTAAACAAGCGGTATGTTGGATTGTTTGAATTGTGTCTTTATTTACTTTTGGGGAAAAAGACTGGGTTTAGAGATTTTTATTTCCTACTGTAGTATCACGACTGACCAGGCTAAGTGATGTCTAATAAAGCAGGCACCTTCTCATCCTTGAGATGTGCTTTGATCATCAACACCAATGCAAGAACTCTGGAGCAACCACAGACACAGTTGTTAATATTCCTCATGAAATGGGTAATCTGGATGATGAGCAAATCTAAGAGATAAAGAGAAAGTTTTAGTCAAGTACCTGTTTCTGGGCTGGGTAGAGAGGTTTCTTTTAAACTGGCTTAAGCAAGAGATCATGAACTCCTTATTGCCAAATTCAGACTTAAATTGAAGAAAGTAGGGAAAAACCACTAGTCCATTCAGGTGTGACCTAAATCAAATCCCTTATGATTATACAGTGGAAGTGACAAATAGGTTCAAGGGGTTGGATCTGATAGAGTGCCTGAAGAACTATGGATGGAGGTTCATGATATTGTACAGGAGACACGAATCAAGGCCATCCCCCAAAAAAAGAAATGTGAAAAAGCAAAACGGCTGAGGAGGCCTTACAAATATCTGTGAAAAGAGAAGCAAAAAGCAAAGAAAAGGAAAGGTGCACCGATTTGAAGGCAGAGTTCCAAAGAATAGCAAGGAGAGAGAAGAAAGACCTATTCAATGATCAGTGCAAAGACAGAGGAAAGCAATAGAATGGGAAAGACTAGAGATCTCTTCAAGAAAATTAGAGATACCAAGGGAATATATAATGCAAAGATAGGCACAATAAAGGACAGAAATGGTATGGACCTAAGAGAAGCAGAAGATATTAAGAAGAGATGGCAAGAATACACAGAAGAATATACAGAAAAGATCTTCACGACCCAGATAATCACTATGGTGTGATCACTCACCTAGAGCCAGACATCCTGAAATGCAAAGTCAAGTGAACCTTAGGAAGCATCACTACAAACAAAGCTAGTGGAGGTGATGGGATTCCAGTTGAGCTGTTTCAAATCCTAAAAGATGATGCAGTGAAATTGCTGCACTAATAAGCCAGCAAATTTGGAAAACTCAGCAGTGGCCACAGGACTGGAAAAGGTCAGTTTTCATTCTAATCCCAAAGAAAGACGATGCCAAAGAATGCTCAAACTACCGCAAAATTGCACCTCATCTCACACGTTGGCAAATTAGTGTTCAAAATTCTCCAAGCCAGGCTTCAGCAGTATGTGAACGGTGAAATTCCAGATGTTCAAGGTGGATTTAGAAAAGGCAGAAGAACCAGAGATCAAATTGCCAACATCCATTGGATCATTGAAAAAGCAAGAGAGTTCCAGAAAAACATCTATTTCTGCTTTATTGACTAGGCAAAAGCCTTTGACTGTGTGGATCACAATAAACTGTGGAAAATTCTGAAAGAGATGGGAATACCAGAAAACCTGACCTGCCTCTTGAGAAATCTGTATGCAGGTCAGGAAGCAACAGTTAGAACTGGACATGGAACAACAGACTTGTTCCACATTGGGAAAGGAGTACGTTAAGGCTGTATATTGACACCCTGCTTATTTAACTTATATGCAGAATACGTCATGAGAAATGCTGGGCTGGATGAAGCACAAGCTGGAATCAAGATTGCTGGGAGAAATACCAATAACCTCAGATATGCAGATGACAGCCCCCTTTATGGCAGAAAGAGAAGAAGAACTAAAGAACCTCTTGATGAAAATGAAAGAGGAGAGTGAAAAAGTTGGCTTAAAGCTCAACATTCAGAAAACAGATCATGGAATCTGGTCTCATCACTTAATGGCAAATAGATGGGGAAACAGTGGAAACAATGACAGACTTTATTTTTGGGGGCTCCAAAATCACTGCAGGTGGTGACTGCAGCCATGACATTAGAAGATGCTTAACTCATTGGAAGGAAAGTTATGACCAACCTAGACAGCATATTAAAAAGCCGAGACATTACTTTGCCAACAAAGATCTGTCTAGTCAAAGCTATGGTTTTTCCAGTAGTCATGTATGGATGTGTGAGTTGGACTATAAAGAAAGCTGAGTGCTGAAGAATTGATGCTTTTGAACTGTGGCATTGGAGAAGACTCTTGAGAGTCCCTTGGACTGCAAGGAGATCCAACCAGTCAATCCTAAAGGAAATCAGTCCTGTATATTCATTGGAAGGACTGATGCTGAAGCTGAAACTCCAATATTTTGGCCACCTGATGCAAAGAGCTGACATTTGGAAAGACCCTGATGCTGGGAAAGATTGAAGGTGGGAGAAGAAGGGGCCGACAGAGGATGAGATGTTGGATGGCATCACTGACTCAATGGACATGAATCTGAGTAAACTCTGGGAGTTGGTGATGGACAGGGAGGCCTGGCATGCTGCAGTCCATGGGACTGCAAAGAGTCAGACATGACTGAGCAAATGAACTGAACTAAACCGAAGCAAGAGAATTGATGTAATTTTCCTTTTGGACAAGTACAAGCCCAACCAGTTTTATAACCACTATGTACAATTGCATTGCAGTGTAATCAACACATTGTAGAAAATAAATATGCTTACATGCACTTGGGTACATGTAGTTTATTCTACAGCATAAGGAGATAAACAATTTGTGTCGATATTATAAACTCTGAAGAGGGCAGACATGAGTTCTTCCTCTTTTAAACCAGTGTCATTATGGCTTAATACCTGAAATTAACAAATATTTCAAGGTGATGGTGAGGAAGGTGACAAGAACAGTACTGTTGTTCAATTTCTTCCAAGAACTAAGAAATATTTTACCTGTGACTTCACTGGGTGAAAAATTATATATTAGATCTAGAAATAGATAGGGTGATTATAATATAAGCCACTTCAACAAGGGTTTCCATTTGGCAAAGAAGGTAAACTCTCTTTGTATATATAAAGTCATCATTTTTGAGATATGTGGTGCTACTGTTTATAATAGCCAGGACATGGAAGCAACCTAGATGCCCATCAGCAGATGAATGGATAAGGAAGCTGTGGTACATATACACCATGGAATATTACTCAGCCATTAAAAAGAATTAATTTGAATCAGTTCTAATGAGATGGATGAAACTGGAGCCCATTATACAGAGTGAAGTAAGCCAGAAAGATAAAGACCAATACAGTATACTAACGCATATATATGGAATTTAGAAAGATGGTAACAATAACCCTATATGCAAAACAGGAAAAGAGACACAGATGTACAGAACAGAGTTTTGGACTCTATGGGAGAAGGCAAGGGCAGGATGATCTGAGAGAACAGCATCAAAACATGTATATTATCAAGTGTGAAACAGATCATCAGCCCAGGTTGGATGCATGAGAGAAGTGCTTGGGCCTGGTGCACTGGGAAGACCCAGAGGGATGGGGTGGAGAGGGAGGTGGGAGGGGGGATCGGGATGGGGAATACATGTAAATCCATGGCTGATTCATGTCAATGTATGGCAAAAACCACTACAATATTGTAAAGTAATTAGCCTCCAACTAATAAAAATAAATGGGGAAAAATAAATAAAAAATAAACTAAAAACAAAATAGGTGGTGCTAAATCACTGGATAATTATTGATTAAAATGACTGGTATTAATTGCTAAAAATTACTGCCTGCTTCTTCATTGTCTGTTACTCTACCCTACTATTTTGTTATTCATTCAACCAATATTCACTAATTACTCAGGGAGAGAATAGTTTCTTAAAATTCCTTCCCTAGGACTCTACTGTTCTCTGATAAGCAGAAAGTACACAGCATAGGTTAAGAAACCATGTGCTATGTTAACGAGGGAGATGTACCAAGAGAGAGACTGAGCAGGACCCAGAAGGGAGGAAGTGTTGTGCTGGGCTGGACCACCTTTTTAGATGAAATGACAGAGAAGGTGCCCCGGTGGTGCCATCTGAGTTAAGACTGACATTGCGGAGAGAGGGAACACCCGGCTATCTGGAGGAAGAGCATTCTGGGTAGAGAAAACAGCTCGGGCAGAGGCCCTGAGATGGGCCTGACACATGGGGCAGCACAGAGGCCGCTGGGCTGCACTGAGTCCGAGGGGCTGGGCAGCAGGACCTAAGTGGAGGCAGAGACACGGGGGGCCGGTCCTGCTGCCCCTGTAGGCACTGTGAGGACTTTGGCCTTTGCTCCAAGTGAGAAGGCAGGCCACCAGAAGCCAAGAAGAGGGCTTCCTGATCAGACCTTTGGTTTTTTCCTAGATAATAGCAGTATCTTTACTTTATTCAATTTAATTTTTATATTCTATTGCAGTATAGTTGACTAACAATGCTGTGTTAGTTTCAGGTGTACAGCAAAGTGAGTCAGTTATATATGTATATATCTTCTCCCGGGGAGGAGGAAACTGATGACGCAGGCAGAGACCAGGATGTAGCCAGGTTTCATTTTTTATTTTTTTGAAAATCTGCATGCTATTTTATTTCCACTAGAAAAATATTATCTATATAAAATTTTGTCCAGTTTCTTCTCCTTTACCTCTGCCGTTCAAATTTAAATGCTTTAATTTTATTCCAGTAAAAATCAGAGAGGCAACAGAGGACTCTGTCCTTTGTGGACTAGAATAAGTGGAATTCCCTCCTTACCCTGCTCCTACAGCGTCTACAGTGGAACCAGCCACTTATTCGCCATGGTCAAAATAGCGTATGTTTCTATTTAGGCCATCCAGACATCCCATGTCCTCTGGGGTCAACTGGAATTCAAAAACCTATCAGAAATATGAGACGACCAATTCAATTTCCCAGAGGCAAGTACTGCCACCCACCCCTACAGGTCCCCTGCATGCAGATACCGACACACACATTTATGTAAGAACTTGTGTAGTTTACATGAACCTGGGGTTCATCCCTGGCAAAAGTCACAGAAATTTGTCCATTCAGAGAGTCGAGGTTGGTGATTTAGGTCACCTTCAGAGGCTTTGGGTGACTGTGGTGATAGCCAAGGAATTGTAGAGATTTCTGAGCCCAGATATCATCTCCACAAACTCCTTCATTTTTTTCAGCTGAAGAAATCAAGAGATGATTTATTCAGGGCCATACTGTGGAGTAAAAACGAGGGTTGAGACTTAAACTTGGCTCAAACCCTCTGTAGACTGTTCTTTCCAAACACTGTGCTTCCTGTCTTGTTGGTTTGGAAGACAGGAGAGTTAAATACAGCAAATATACCCATAGAGAACATAGGGAGATAAACTCTACCCAAATACACATTGGGAACCTCCCAAACAA